CTTATCCTTCGCGGTCCATTCAATACTTACAAAGTACTAGTGTAATTCATCAGTCAAAGATCAACTGAATTAAAAATTACACTACAATCTTTTACCAACAGGTTGTTCAATTTTGCCTAGACTATGAATATGTAATATATATTTTACAAGGATTTGATAAGATGATTTTTCTGTTCGACACCTCGAATCATACTATCTACACTGTAAAATAAAGGAACTTATGGTCGCATAAAAAAATTAAACTGCAAACACAAATACTTGACTAAAACATGATCGCTATATTAAAATGGTATTGCTAGTTAACTCATAACCGAGCTTTTACAGTATACCCTAACAATATCGACCTATGGACTTACGATGAGGCACTTCAAGATCGTGATGCATAGTTCTGAATAAGTGCGATGAAGGCTGAAATAGAGTCAATGGACTCTAATCAGGTATGAGATTTTATAGAACCACTAAGTGACGTTCGCGCCATTAGATTTAAATGAGTCTATAAGAGAAAGAGATGATCGAATGGGAAGGTTGAGACCTTCAAGGCTAGGTATGTTTCCAAGGGGTATACTCAGACACAGGGAATCGATTATGAGGAAACCTTTTCGCCGGTGGTCATGTTTAAGTCCATCATGATTCACTTAGTTGTAGCTCATATGAATTATGATATCTGACAAATGGATGTCAAGACAACTTTTTAATGGGAATCTAGATGAGGACATTTCATTCCGCAACCAGAGGGTTTCATCGCAAAGGACCAATAGTATCTGGTCTATAAGCTTAATCGATCCATTTATGGACTAAAGCAAGCTTTGCAGTCTTGAAATATCCATTTTGACGAGGTTCTCCAATTGTTTGGATTTACTCAATGTCCGGGTGAGCACAACGTGTACAAAAAAGTGACGAGAACGTGGTGGTGTTTCTTGCGCTATATGTAGACGACATCCTCATCATTAGAAACAGTATAAAGGTGTTGTCAAACTAAAGGCGTGATTGTCCAAGTAAATTGATGTGGAGATATAGGAGAAGTAGGACATATTCTCGGGATCAAGGTCATTAAGAATCACGAGAAGAGAATATTGTGCTTATCTCAGTTTTCGTACATAAGTATTGTCTTGGCTCAGTTCAGCATGCTGGATCCTAAGAAGAGTTATTACCTTTTCAATATGGAATCCCTCTGCCTAAAGGTGTGTCTCCCAAGACACCCCAAGAGATAGAGGACATGAAGGTAGTTCCTTATGCATAGGCAGTATGAAGCCTTACGCATGCGATGTTGTGCGCACGGCTCGATAAATGTTATGTGTTTGTCCTATTTTTGTTTGTTTTTTTCATGTTCGTTTTTCCTTTTTTTTCCCCAAGTTTTAGATCGTTTCCTTGGTTTTTAGTTAGTTTTGCGACTTGTTGCGTGTTTTTCTTTATTTTGCATTTTTCTGTGCTTTCGCTTTTGTTTCATTGTCTTCTCCGTGTTCTTGTCGTTTTTGGTGTACAGGTCGGGAGCTCGGGTGGATATGATTTCAAGAATAAGTTTCCCATGCAAGAATAATTAATGAGAAAGGTTTGTTGGCGATGCGTAGAAAAAAATAGAACTCAATTCCGAGTTCGGACGAGCTCAAACGAACCCGAAACATGAAGTCGCGCAGCCCAGACCCTAGCGGCGTTAAGGGTGGCATAGCTAGCAGCGTTGGGCATGCTAGCGGGCTGCAAAAACTTCCAAATTTTGTACTCTAGCGCCACTAATCCCCTTTAGCGCTGTTAGGGCTTGTACGCGGCCAATTTTGTTTTTCATTTTTCTCGTTTTTGCTCAGTTTTTCGAGTCATATATATTGGGTCAAACCCTCATACCTATAGATTAATCCCCAAACTCATTTTTTTCCAGATTTATACCCTAGAACACCAGCTTACACTTTGAATTTCTTCTTGAGTTTCTCGAATTAAGCTTTTCTCTCGGATTCAACTTTCAATGTTATAAATATGATTTCTTGGGTTGAGATGAATGTTTGTTTAATTCGTTATGAGTATAGAAATCCGATTGCTAGGAATAGGGGATGGTATTTTGTTTTTGATTGTGGTTGTCGTGCTTGTCGAATCATTCACTTTATGCGACTTAATTGAAAATAGGGTTTGTGATCTTCATGCTTGATTGTTGGGTATTTTTGAAGGGTGACACATTTAATTGAATATGATTCTTTCTCGTGTGACGTTTTCAATTCTAATAGACTAGTCGATTAACCACCTTTTAGTCTAATTTAATCGACTCTTAGAACCGAAAGAGGAGGAATTGATCGATCTAGGATCGTATAAAATAGGCTTGTTCATAACTGTATTGCCTATGTATTAAACGACTTGTTGCTTTTCCATCCATATCTATTCTCTTGTTACAAAAAGTTATTGAGGATGATCTCTGAACGTATAGGCTATTTGAATCCTTTAACCGAACGATTACTTGGTCGTTAATAGTGTTTCAGACCAAAAAATATATCCTTGACTCCCTAACCTCCTTATTACTATTGATTCTTGTTCAAGGGTTGAAATTAGAAGTTGCGTTGTTTGAAAGTTCTTAATTGGTAGTTAAAAACCAAACCAATATTTGCATTAGAATGTTTAGGGTTTTCATTTTTGTAATTGAATATACGTACAATATAATCCGACTAACCTTCTTTGAGAGATCGACCCGGGGATCAAATCCTTCGATTCGGTGCTCAGTAAAAATAACAAAATTTGCTACAGCATTATGTTGTG